ATTATTTGAAGTCATGTTGAGACAAAGATGTTAAAATAAAAAAAATCATTAAAATTATCTTTTTTTTATTTATATATTTTTTTAATCTTGTAATTTATGCAACTTAAAGTTTATTATATTAGTGTATTAGTTTTTAATTTCCGCTTTACTGCGGATCTTATTTCGCTCAATATGAGTTGATAAACCAATTATATTAGTTTAATTTGACATATGTTATATTCCGATCGGTATAAATTTTAAAGTAACACATGTTAATCTAAGACCGACATAAGTCATGAACCGACGTATAACATATACACAAGTGATAGGAAATAAAAACTCCGCTATCTCCGTGATCCACATTGATTATCCACATTGGTTAACTAAATTTACATCCTGTGAAAGAAATATTAGATATGTAAATCTGTGGATCAGATCTATAGGAAGTTTTTCAATAAGTGAAGAGCGTGGTATTTTGTTAACGATGAATTTTTATAAATAAAGCAACATTTTTTGGCGAAAAATTTAGTCTTGAATTACCACCATTCCCAATATTCTCTTAAAGACAGGTTGAGCCAAGTCTTTAAGTGATCTATTCCGACAGACTCGTATAAAACGTGATTTGTTTTGTGAAGTAAATACTCATTTTAACGAACACATTCATTCGTGACAATAAATTTTATGCCAAGTTTGCCGTGTAAATTAAATTTTCTTTCTTATAACCCTCCCGAAAAAATTAAGCTCAAATGACGGATTTTCCACAGGTCGCACATAGGTTATTAGAACCTATACCTCAATATGTTTTAGGTTGCTTACCAGCTATAGCAATAGCGGGTGCCTCACCAATGAATACCTTTATAGAAAAATTGGTATGGATGTTACGGTGTCTTGGTTGTCCATTTATTGGAGTTTTTTACTCTGTTAACATTGGAGGTAAAGAAGAACCTCGTTGCCTATTTTGGCTTCCAGTAGAATACTTTGCCACAAGCGAAGGTGAAAACCCACCATACAGACCCGTTGGATTATATACCATGAAACTTAAAGAAAATAATGACATAAAAGAACATGTAAATAGATGCACAGCAAAAGCGTCAGTTCTCGAAAAATTTTCATCAATAATATCTATGTATTATATTGTGGTCGGTATATTAGCAGGAATATCCAGAACCACTGGATCGCATATCTGTGAAGATTGGCCTTATATTCCATTGTTATTGTCTTGGACACTTCCAGCACTCTGTAGAAGAATATTTTCTGGAAACTTGGTAGTCAAGGATCCTAAGATAGAATTTAGAAATATAACAATAACTATGGAAGAAGCCCCGGATATTAGAAGACATAAACGTGTTACCGTTACATTGATTGCTTTTGCATCTATAATTCTTCCTTGGCTTACACTATTTTTAGCTTACTTCACACCCCCAATTGGATACTATTGCCGAAGCAAATATGTCACGACAATCTGTGCCATATGGTCATTTAATAGCATTTTGGCATATTTTTGGCATTTGAAGGGGGAAAAGGACCTAACCAATTCTTCAATCTTACATTGTTGGTATTCTTTTTGGGGTTTAATAGTAGCAATACTATTATTTGTTCTGGGTTTATTTAATAAGAATCCGGAATGGTGGGTAGGTCTGTTCGGATGTTCCTGTGATGTATCAAGCTCGGGGTGTATATTTAACACAGGATGTCAATAAATCATTTGCTTTTACGTATTTTATTTAAGCAGTTACATCGGCTACTATCCCAATTGCCTAATATCATTTATTTATATATTATTTTATATAAGTTATACACTGATTTTTAAATTTTGTAATTCATACAAATGTTTATTTATGAATTTTTTATTTCAATATCATTGTAATTTCTTACAATATTAAAAGATTTAATTAGCTAAAAATGAACCATGATATCACTTAAGTTAATAAACCCTGGACTAGCAACTGCTATCTTAACGGAATTAGAGTTGAAATGATGAAAATTAGCAGAGATGGGATTAATATAAAATATATAATGTTAAAGATCGTTATCTTAATGAACTGAATTATAAATGAATTCATTTATTATCAGGAATCAGTGATGAGAATGTTTATTGTTCTCTTAATGAAAATGTTAAAAAAAATGTGTGATCTGTATAACGAAGAAATATTAAAAGGCAAAGCTCTTCATTCAATTATAGAAAATTTAAAGCAATTTCCAGTGAATATGACAAAAACTCCAGATATTTCAACATTTACTTGCAAGGTCAACTCAATTCTATGGTTCAAGTCGTTTTTGAAAATGTCATTGTTATGGTAGATGGGTTTATAAAGATGAACATAAGGCATTCATTTAATGTTAAAAATCAGCAGAAGTGGGTGCAGATGGAATAATTGTACTTGTGCTATTATGAATATAAAATTGGAGTTGAAAAGAACGAACATGAGACACTTATTATCGTAAGTCCATTAGTATGAGCCACGTTAGCAATGTATAAATTTATGCAAATAGAAGTTGAAAAATTAACATTTGCATTATTAATTATCATCAAAAATCCATAGAGATGTGTAACGCTAAAGGAATAATCGATCCTAGAATGTAATCATATTGAAAATTTCACGTTTTAATATCGTTGTTCCACAAAACCTTGCAATTGATTAGGTGTTATGTTGGATTGTGTAAAGGCGTGAATGCTACTTTGTCGCCGGCTTTGTATTGTCAATTGTGCCTAAATTTGAAACATCGATATGATAATCCTTCGATCAACATGCGTGAATGTCTGGTTCTTTTCTTGGGTTAATCCTAATATAGGTGATACTCTTAGAAAAAGTTTCCAGGAACGCATGATTGCATGACCTTTGGCCACCGGAAAACTACGGGCACAACATACACCTTAGCTTATAGGAGCATAGCCGGTTGGATGTTTGTTAGCATACTAAATCAAACAGATGTATAGTCCCCTATCAAATCGGTATACGTAATTAAGATTTTTATGTAATGTTATTGGGCACGGTCACACCTCAGCGTGTCCGGTCACCAGGAAAATTTACCGGTAGCGTCACATGTGCGACAAATAAAAGTCACAATCATATCAGAAACGGATCACCAAATCTGGAAATGATAACGAAATGATTAACAATCTGTTTATGATAACATTATTATGATAATGAAATTATTATTATTAGTCATAGTTTATTTAATAGTCATAGCCTTCGTGAATGTATAAATAGCAGTAGTTTTTACCTTTCTCTACTTTAGAATTTTACACTTACAAAAATTCTCATAAAGAATTTTTACCAACCCTTAAGATTCTCATCAAAAGAATTTTATACTTACAATTCTCAACAAGATATTTTTGCTGGAAAATTGAAAAATTTTGCATTGAATACAAAATTATCTTAACACTTAAAAATCGATAGTCAAAACCTTACTCTACTTTAGATATTTTTTGCCTACAGCAAAAATAGAGTTTAAATCCCAGATAGCCCAAAGATATACTTTAAAGGAGCCCAACGTAGTCAAATAGAATTAAAACCCAGAGGCATCCAACGTGTTAGGAACACATTTTAATCTCAGAAGAGCCTAAGAACAAAGGCACCCAACGTATTCACCAAAAGAGATAACAGACTTTAAAGGCACCCAACATGCAAAAACTTAATAGCTTAGATAGCTAAAGGTACCCAACGTGATAGTATATACTCAAGAGCCCAAACACAGAATATCAAAGACAAGAGCCTAGAAAAGAAAAGTCAAAGGCATCCAACGTGTAAACTACTTAAACAGACAAAGAAGCCCAAGGTGCTCAACATAATAGATAGCGCCTAACAAAAAGACAACATAATCACCAAAGAATACTAGATAACAGCAAGAACCAACCTATCTAGCAAACTCCAAGATGCCTAACACAAAATATTGAGCCCAACGTGCAAAAAACTAAAACAAAAAGCACACACAAAGAACATATAAAAACTTCCTAACAACCGTAGATCAAAGGAAAGCAAACTGATAGCCAAAAGCTTATCAACAGAAACATACAATGTGGTGAAACAAACTCACAACAAACCTATTCATTTATCAACAACAACTAAAGGGCAAGAAGATAATAACTACTAGCATATAGTTTAACACATTTATATTTAATAAACACATATTTTATTTAAAAAAAAAAGTCTTTGAACATAAACTTTTATTCTGTGCATACTCTATAAAAAGTTTCTATAAAAACAAGTGTTAGTAAGAA